TGTGAGAGAGCGAGAGAGAGCGAGAGAGCGAGAGAGAGACAAAGACAGGAGAGAGACAGAGTGAGAGCGAGAGTGAGTGAAAGAATGCATTAATTACATTATTTTTAGGCCCGTATGCTAACGTAGTTATTGCCGACTACGAGACGATGAAAGAAACGATAGTACGAGATGGAGATAAATATTCTAATCGGTTTCACAGCGAGACCATGATTGAGTATCGAGGTGTGTGGTATGCACGCGAGAGAGCGAGAGAGAGAGAGAGCGAGAGAGAGAGAGAGAAAGAGAAGAGAGACAGCAAAAAAAAACAAAATTTTTAGACGGTATCTACGGTGTCGTCGAAGCCGACGGCGATCTTTGGAAGGAGCAACGGAAATTCGCGCTCCACACGCTACGCGACTTCGGCATGGGCAAGAATTTGATGGAGCAGAAGGTTTGAGAATTGAAATGTATACTTCAAAAACCGGAAATATAAACCCAAAGATTTTTTCAAACACGGCAATCCGGTATCAATTTTTTATAAATTTTGACTGTGTTGAACTGCTTCTTTAAAATTACACAGCTTAAGAACGATTCTAATACCTCCAATTTTCAGGTAATGACCGAAGTAACCCATCTACTCGACCGAATCTCAAACCAAAGCGGAATTGCCGCCCAGTGGGAATTCGATGTTGCAGTGGGGTCCATTATTAACAGTCTACTTTTCGGGTATCGATATGAGGAGGTAATTTGGCTGAATGATACCTTAAAAAAAGATTAATCTCAGGAAAACCTCGCCGAGTTCAAGGAGCTCAAAGGCCTTCTGGGAGACCATATGAAAATTGTAGCCTCGCCAACAGGAGGGCTTGTATTAATGTTGCCCTGGACGAGACCGTTGCCCTATTTCAAGGGTAGGAAACGAGAGAGAGAGAGAGAGAGAGAGAGAGAGAGAGGGAGAGAGAGAGAGCGAGAGAGTGAGAGAGAGATCGAAATATGACTATTTTCTAGAAGCCCACGCGAAAATTCTCTACATCCGTGATCGAATCCTGAACTGTTTCCGGCGTCAACTAGCTGATCGCAAGCTTCCGATCGAAACGGAATTTGATACCGTAAGAATTCTTCACTTTCGCGTATTTCAGTTTTTTACAGCCGAGCGTCGATTTCGTGGAAGCCTACTTAAGGAGCAGCAGAAAAAGAAGGATGAGCCCGACTTTGGGGGCTTTAGGTTCGAAAATTAATACCGACTTCGAAAAACGACGATTTTCTAGCATGAAACAACTGGAAAATGTCATCTTTGACTTGTGGATTGCTGGTAAGCAAGGAGAGAGAGAGAGATAGAGATAGAGAGAAAGCGAGAGAGAGCGAGAGCAAGAGAGATTATACAATTTTACAATGCTACATTTCCAGGAATGGAAACAACATCAAATACCCTCACCTGGGGTCTAGCTTTCGTCCTAAATGACGACGAGGTCCAGAGAAAAATTCACGAAGAGCTCGATTCGGTCTTAAAATCCGATCGTCTCGTCACGCTTGCCGATAAGCCGAATCTGAACTATATCAACGCGACGATATGCGTGAGTTTCAAAAAATCCGTCTAAAAACTTTAAAAAATTCAAATGGCTGTTTTAAATTGTTTTAAGCTCTTTTAAAAGCAAAGCTATGTAAAATCCATCGCCAAAAGGTGTAGGAAAATGTAAGCGCGTCTAATTTCGACGTAACCAATCGGCCATCAAATAAACTATACGAAAAACACGCCTTTTAGGAAATCCAACGACTCGCTAACCTGCTTCCGATGAATCTCATTCACCAGACAACCGAGGACGTCACAATCAATGGCCACTTTTTAGAGGCAGGCACAAATGTCATTCCACAGATCTCGTGTGTGCTTTTTGATGAGAAGGTAGGAGCATACCTAGATAATTAAAGATTAGACCTACCTCTATCTAGCCAAAAAAAGCTTTTTTATAATTCTAAATAACAAATTATATGGGCCTGAGGAAAAAGCCGAATAGGCAAAATTCACACCCTTCAGATCTTCCCCGAACCACAATCCTTCAAACCGGAAAGATTCCTGAATCCCGATGGCTCGCTGCGAAAAGTCGAAGAATTGATCCCGTTCTCCCTCGGCAAGCGCCAATGCCTGGGCGAGGGGCTGGCCAGGATGGAGCTCTTCCTCTTTGTTGCCAACATTTTCCAAAAGTTCAAGGTAAGGAAAAAGGTGCCTTAGATGTTGCTGCATCTGGAACCGCTATCAAAACTAGCCAGAACTTTTTCTAGCCCTTTCTAAAAAGTTTAAAGCTATTTTGGAGCTGCTGGGGAAACGCCAAAAAGCTGAAACTATGCGACAAAACCATAAAAATAAACTAAAAACTAGTAGAAAGTCGTAAATTTCTTGCCCAGGTTGCCTATACGTTAAAAGTTACTTTTCGCGTGTTGAAAGCCCTAAAAAAATCCGAAAAGGCATAAAAACATGGGTAATGACCTAAAAAGTAGCGTTTTTTATACAAAAAACTCTTAGAAATTTTTTATACCAATGCAATGTAATTTATTAATGCTAAAACAAAACAACAATAAAAGCCAATCAAAACCCTGCAGGTCACCTCCCCCACCCGACCATCGCTGAAAAAATCCTTCGGTTTCACTGTACAAACGGCGCCCTACACGTGCAATTTTGAGGAGAGGTTTTGAGCGAAGACTTTTAACCTATTATCGATTGCTTATTTATTCGTTTCCATGTCCCGTATTCAATAAAACAACTAAAACATCAGAGGATAAAGTCCCAGAGAGCGCCGGGCTGTCAGTGCGCTGGGCGCTCTCCATCCCGTCCCCACTCGACCCCCTCCTGGTCCTCATCGTGGACACAAGAGCCGCCCCTTGCCGTCCATCCTCGGTTCAGCTCTTCGGAGCTTGCGCTTCGGTGTTCGGAGGTCCCTTGTGGGCCTCGTAACCTTAATTTTTGGACAGCCATCCCGGGGTTAACCGGGAAGGCGGCAAGTGTGTTTACGGCGGAATTTATATCCGTAAACGGGGATTTATTGCGCTTGACTTCGGCTTTACTATGCCATCCTTTACCTAGCGTAAACGAATCAACAGACTAGGATGTAGCAAGAGAAAAGAAATGAAAAACTACTTCCCCGATATAAAAATAAAATATTTAACAATCCCGAAATAGTTTTCACTCTTTTAAATACTTTTCACCCCATACCTTGACTATTATATTGTCCGCTAGGGCTTCCAACTGAGGAGACCCGACCCTAGCGTTTGATTTGCCTGTCTTGGACTAGGGTCGAAACAGGCCTATCTAGTATACTTATCCCAGTTCTAGCTCTTTCTTGAGCAATTCTTCTCTCCTAATATATTTTAATTAGTTTACTTTTATTTTAATACTTTCCTTTTATTACAAAGGCACTGATTTTCAAAAAGTTTACCTTACGTTTTCTCACTAACCACGCTAGTTTTAAAAATTAGACTTGCCTCTTGTTAAAATATGCGTTTCTTTTGCTAGCAATAACTATAACGTTTGAGAAACAACAGCAGTATTTTTTGTAATCAAAGACTACTAATTTTTCCTTTCTACCGCAAAAAAAACTTTAGCGGATCCCAACGGTTTTGTAAGCGTAATTCGGCGCTAAACATTTTACGTCGTCACAACGTTTGATTTTAGACAAAACTATTCAATCAGAAAAAATTTGCGAGGCCTCAAAATAGCTTTTTTACCTATCTTGCCTGAAATTCGCACTTTTTCGCTAGCCTTTTTCACTTTTGTCGCGAAAAAATCGTTTGAGAAACGAGAAGAAGTTCTGTACACTTTACACCCTCGCAACTCGCACAACCCGTAGCCCACAAAACTTTATTCAGCGCAAAAACCGGCCCTGCAATGGCCCAGACACGAAACGGGTGGTATCATCATCATGTCAGTGGGTCAAAGAAAGGGGGCATACACCAAAAAATGGGGCGAAATACGCGCGAGCGGGGATCGATCGTTCTTCAGTAGTTGGTCAGCCGGTAGACGATACCGCCCGGGTGGCGGCGGATGATGCACTTGCGCACCTCGTCGTACATGTAGATGAGTACGGCGAACGGGAGGCCGACCATCGTCGTCGTCATGCTGGAAAATAAAAATTTAGGTCCGGAATAGAGATCAATTTTACCGGAGCGGCGTCTGGGCGAGAATGTTGTAGAGGCCGGGGGTGTAGAGGAAGATGCACGAGAGGACGACCGTCGAGATCATGCCCGTGTTCATCACCATGTTGCTGAAATAAACGTGTTGAAGACGTCCTGGGCAGCTAGACTCACTTCATCCCCTGGGTGACCATCGAGTTCTTGCGCGTCTTGGAGATGAACAGGTCGCCCCACTGCACCATCACCATCGACAGGAAGAAGCCCGAGTGGCACGAGCGGAGCAGCTGGCGGCGCGACTCGTAGCACTGCAAAAAAATATATACCGTTTTTCATTAAGCCTACCCATTCCTGGCCAAACGAGTCGGCCACCGTGTCGAGGTCCTTGTTGTCCCACTGTTCGCGCAGGCCCCACAGGTCCCACGGCATGAACCCGTTTTGCATCATGATGACTAAAGTAGAATTTGTTGCAAAAATGAAAAAACTCTTACAAAAGTAGGTGCAAAAGCCGGCAGTCGCTTGCATGACGCCAATGTGCATGTAGGAGAAGAGGATCAGCCTGAAAAATCGATAAATCAATTTAATTAAATTTTATAAATATTTTATATAGGAGAAGGTATCAATTTCATCCTACCTTATATAATTTTGGATGAACAAATCTTGATTTAATGAACCCCCAAAAAAGTGTTATACCGGGCATTGACGAGCTTGTCAATCTTGGCGTCACGCGGCGGGCGCTCCATGATGTCGTTCTCGGGCAGCTCGTAGGCCAGGGAGATGGCCGGCCACTAGAAAACATAATTTGATTTTTTTTCAATCCAAACAAACCAGATCCGTGCCCATGTCGATGAGCAGGATGGACATGAGCGACATTGGCAGCGGGAGGCCAAAGACGACGTACGAGATGAACGGTGTCACTTCTAAAAGAGGGGGGTTCTAAACAAATAAAATGATTCTCTACCTCCAATGTTGGACGTGAGAACGTAGGCGATCGACTTCTTCAGGTTGTCAAAGATGATACGGCCCTCCTCGACGCCGGTGACGATCGAGGCAAAGTTGTCGTTGAGGAGGATCATGTCGGCGGCCTGCTTGGAGACGTCAGTGCCGGCGATGCCCATAGCGATTCCTGAAATAGAAATTGAAGGTCATAGCTTAAAAACTCGAAGATACCAATATCAGCCTTGCGCAACGCCGGGGCATCGTTGACACCATCACCAGTCACGGCGACGATTTGGCCATTCCGCTGGTAGGCCTCGACGATTTGCAGCTTCTGCGTTGGGGACGTGCGGGCAAAGACCACCTAGAAAAATGATGTCCAAAATCTCACAAAAAAAAACCATACCTGGTGGTAGTTGGCAACGATCGAGTCGAGCGTCGTCTCGGACAACTTCTTCAGTTGTTCGCCGTGCACGACGATGGCCTCGGTCTTCTTCAGGCGGCCAGTGCCGTAGAGCTAAACATGGAAGTTTTTGAATCCAGGATGAAGCGCACCTCTTCTCCAGCTGGCGCATCCGTATCGTCGATCAGCAGGGTGACGTCGATGCCGTTGTCGATGATGTGCACCTGCTTGGCGATGGCCTGGGCGGTGATCGGGTGATCGCCGGTGACCATGACGACCTAAAAAGGGAGGAAGTTTTACCAGGGTTTTTTTTTTGCTATTTTCCTTTTTCCTATCTTTTTTTGTAGCAGTGTCTAGTAGTGTTACAAAATTAGGCTAAACTCCAGATAACCCCCCCCCCCAGCCGGCACCCAACTTTTGTATCTCGGCTCCCTGTTCATCTACAGGTGTGTAAAGTATACCAAAATGTTCGTCTTGCTGTGGCGAGTATTTTGGTATACTTTACACACCTGTAGATGAACAGGGAGCCGAGATACAAAAGTTGGGTGCCGTCTTACCCAAAATTATTTTAACCGTGTTTTTGGCGAAATTAAGCTAGCTCCTGAGGCAAAAATTTTCCAGAAACGCGAAAAAGCCTAAAAATCTGTCCAAAAAATTCGATTTTGTCGACAAGCCTTGTTTTGATGCGTTTGATCAAAATTTGTGAATCTTTCACGTTCTAAAACGTAAAAAATCGTGTAGGTAGCAAATTGCCATTAATCCATTTTTTTTCTATACCTTGATGCCAGCGCTTTGGCAAAGATGGACGGCCATGCGGACACCCGGGCGCGGCGGGTCGATCATCGAGATGAGGCCGAGGAAGTTGAGGCCTAAAACACCCAGCATCAAAAATTATAGAAAACACAATCCGTACCAGCCGTGGGATAGTTCGGGTTCTCTAGGTCGAACGCGAAGCCGGGTGGGAATTGGTCCGGAGGCAAGATCAGTTCGGCGAATCCGAGCACACGCTCGCCCATGCCGCCCAGGTCGTCGTAGGCCTGAAAACTGACTTTGAAAACTGGCGCTAAAATTCCAACCTTCTGGAACTGCTTGCGGATGTTGTCATCAATCGGCTTCGGGCCCTCCTCGGTGCTCATCGTGGTGGACATGGCGAGGACGCGCTCGGGGGCGCCCTTGAGCACGAGGATGTGCGAGTTGTTGGGGCCGCCGGTGTGGATGGAGAGCTGGTACTTGTTGATCGAGTTGAACGGCTGCTCCATCACCTTCGGGTAGCCCTCACTAAAAGGCAAACTTGATACGCAGAAAAAGTAGATTACCGATACTCGCGCACCGCGTTCGGCGTGACGCCCTGGGAGCGTACGAGCTCGCAATACTTGAGGATGGCCGCCTCCGAGGCGTCACCGACCGTTTCGCGCTTTTGCACCGGCACATCCGTGTCGTCTTCCTGAAAAATACACATAACTATTTTTTTATGCTTTTGATCGTGTTTTTTTAATTCAGCTATATTTAGATGGAAACCCTATTTAGAAAACTTAGTAGCTTACAAAACTTGTTTTCCAGTCTACGTTTTTATATTTTTAATTAAAAACGTTTTAAAAACGTGTAAACCCGTAGCAGTCCCCTTGCTCAGAGAAATGGATTGGATCCTAATAACAAAAGGTTTGTTTCTCCGCATATTGCGAATTTACGTTATTTTTAAATCGACCCCTTTACCTTAAAGTCCGAGCGCGAGCACAGCGTGGCGCAGCGCATCAAATCCCCGTAGGCGCCGGTGACCGGAAGTCCGCGGCCCGTCGGTTTTCCATCCTCACCGCACATCACCGCCTCGAAGATCTCGCCGCGAGCCCTAAAAACGATATTATAACTTTTTGGCCCATCAATACCAGAAATGCGCAACGGTCATCCGATTTTGCGTCAGCGTTCCAGTTTTATCAGAGCAGATTGTCGACGTACTGCCCAGCGTCTCGACGGCTTCGAGCTTCTTGACGAGACAGTGCTTTTTGCGCATCTTCTTGGCGGTCAGCGTCAGCGAGGCCTAAGGAAACGGGTTTCAAAAAAACCGCCCAATCCTTACCGTGACGGTGGCCGTGATACCTTCCGGGACGTTGGCGACAAAGATGCCCATCATGAACACGAGCGCGGACAGCAGGTCGGAGCCGCTGATCATCGAGACGATGAAGCAGGTCGAAGCGACGATGAAGGCGACGGTGCCAATGATCTAAATTTA